AGTGGGGAGGAGAGCAGAGTACTGTAGCCAATTCATAGAGGGGGATTATTAGGAGGCCATGATTGGTAAGGGCCAATGGGAAATTTGGCCAGGTTACACCCCTACTCTTTTCGAGAAACGCCCTGGGATTTTTAATGAGAGTCAGGACCTCGGTTTTACATCTCATCCGAAGGACGGCGCCTGTTTTACAGTATAGTGTCCCTGTCACTATACTGGGGCATTAGGACCCACATGGACCGCAGGGTGAGCGCCCCCTTCTGGCCTCACTAACACCTCTTCCAGCAGCAACCATAGTTTTTCATACTGCAAGTGGAATTATAATACTTCTTCATGGATACAAAGTTGACTCCAAAGCACAAGACTGTTATTTGTTAATTTTAAACATATTTATTACAATATTTAGTTGAATAGATTGTGGTACACAGTATGTTTGTTATTTTATAGATAGTGATTGAAATGAAAATGAAATAATTCTTTACAAGATCTATAATGCTAGATCAATGTATAAAAACCTCAATATAATGACAATGAATGTAATATTCACTCACCCAAGAGGTGTTCTAATGTAAACTTCTTTTTTGTTGGATGCTTCTTCTTTCATCAGCACCACAAACTTGAGTTCACTGGTGCAGTCCTGAGCTAGTACATGGTAACAAGCTTTGGGCAATGCTGATGTGAACCTAACATTGTTAAATGTTATAAAATTCCTTCCTGCAACAGAACATTGAGCTGCAGAAAAAAAAAATCAAATATTATTGAGAGTTGGCACCTTAGGAATGAGAATTTGCATGATTAATCAACAACTCAGAAGGTTTGGACAAGTTTAGGATGAAGTTTAAGGTGTTCAAATCAAAATTTACTCAGATTTCACACTTGAAGTCACCTCAGATTAAGCAAAGGAATTAGCATGTTCATTATTTAAAAAGTGTAAAAGTATATGGAAAAATGTGTACTGTATATGTCATAGAGTAACAGAAGCGTGAGTAGAACAGTCTAGGGGGCATCATTTACTTGAGTTATGCATATAATGGCCATTCAGTGGGTCCTGATATCAATAAAGAGTTGTTTTTTGTTTTGTGTCTCTAAGTGTTTTCTAGCACAAACAGTACTACAGACATCACTCATCACAATTTAAGTGGCACACCGTTCACATAGGTGCCTATTACTATGAGGGGCAATACAATACTGTAAGAGACAACACAATAGATGTGTCAGAGTGTTATGCATGTTGGGGTTGAACCTGGACCAGAGGGAATAAAAAGAAAAGACAAGTGGAATGAGGAACTGTGCACTGTGACCCAGCAATCTGCATACAGTTGGTTCTGCAATAGCACCCAGAATGTTAAGTTTGCCTGCCTCCCATGATCACCCTGAAGCTTTCTTTGGGACTTTATATATAAAGTGGCTTTTTTTTGTTATAACCAGGAACAGAGACTGGACTGTGCAGCCTGCAAAGAGAACTCGTCAGGGTTTTTTTTGTGATAATGGTGTTTTTTAGTGTGTCCCTTATGAATTCTTGTTCTATTGTTCTTTTGTTTGAAGTAGATATTTATATCTTATGGTATTTGTTAGTCTATTAGTATCTATTAGTATCTATTTGAAAAGAAACTTCAAATATTACATATACCTGTCTTGAGTTATGCATATAATAGCCTTTTAATGGATTCTGATGGCTATGGTGTGTTGTTTTTAGTTAATCCACTAGATGCTCTAGGGGTTAATACAGGCTGTACAGTTAGGAAGGACCTAGCATTTGTAAAACTGCTAAGTCATGTAGTTGGCTTAAATACCTGCAAATTGTCACACACATGCTGTATATAGTATTTCAATTGGTGTTTCAACTGAAATTTCAGTTGAGAGAAGGTTGGTGGGCATTGGGAGATGGAGAGTAAGAGAATGATTACATCAGTCTTTCTGGAGTTTGGGTGAAAGGGTGCTGATAGAGAAATGGATTGTAGGAGAAAGTTTGGAGTTTGAGTAAGCTGGATTGGACTTGATGGGAACTCTCGGGTGTTGTGTACTCTTAGCAGGCAGAAGAAGAAGGGAGCCTTAGAGATTTTGAAAGTTAAGGTCTGTTTCTTGCAAGAGTGATACCACTAAATGATCATGATGGTATGAATCAAAATGAATTATGCAAGTGGAAAGCTAGAATCATGGTATTTATATGTAGGTAGGCTGAAGTGGATGAGCATGTGGCCTTCCCCATAGCTCTGTTTACATGTATTTATTGCATATGTAGAGATACAAGATCTTGTAGAGATTAAAGATCTCTCCAAGCCCATTGATTCTCATTTCACCTCTGATGGCCATGACCACTCTAATCTCTCCGTCTGTGTTCTCAAAGATGGTTTTCCGAGCTCATGCATCAGAAAGACTACTGAAACCATATTTTACCTTTCATTCCGTGCAAAATTAAAGAAGGCAGGTCATTAAGAGCACTTTGGACAGTATTCTTCTGCATATTTGACAGACCATTAACAGGTATATCCACAGGAATTGGGATACCTTGCTGATAAAGAGTTAGCTAGAATGAAGAAACGTTTTATAAATTATGTATGGAAACAAATTGAGGAGTTGGTTTCTTTTAAAACACAAATCAATAATGCTAATTACTTGTAATAAAACATTTTCTGCACTTTAAAACTAAAGAGAAGCTTTTAATTTTTAGCCTTCAGCTAATCTTCATAGAGAAGCAGATTTATTATAAAAAATGAAGAATGCAATAATCTTTGCATTAATAAGTATTGACATCCTCCATTTCCAGTAATTTTATTCAATAAAATGCAACAAATATTAACAATAATTGTAATTTATAAATTTAGGAAACATTTTATAGTGTTCTCTAGTTAAAAAAATAAATGTACTGTAAGTTTTTAAAAGTAAAAATTAATTACATAAGTTTAAATTACTTTAGTTAATTTAATGATGAATCAATCATTCACTTAATACATAGCATTTAAGGGGTTATGCTGAAAATGAATTTACCTTTGGAGCCTTGATTATTGTGTCAATAGTACTTGAAGATGTTGCTTTAATGGTTATAGAAATTTGATGGTGAGGATTTTGCTGATGTTTCTCAAAAAATCCTAAATATAAGGCAATGCCTGGAACATATTCAGCAAGCCTGTTTATGTAAAACGACAGAAGTACAATACATTGATTATAAATACAACTTTAATCTGCCAATGTAGCACAAATGTGTGTTTTTATTTTTCTTATACCATTCATGATTGTATAGCATTTATGTTTAGGAATGAATTGCAGCTTACAGTGGCAGTGCCTTTTATCTATGACTGCAAATACATACTTTAAATAGGTAATGTTTCAATTTGAATAAGTGAAAGAAAAAACGTGAACTAGAAGGTTAGTAGTTTATATAAAAACCTATACAATTAGGTATACACAATATTTTCATGTATTATATGGTTACATTTAGAAAATATAACATGTTGATTACATATTTGCATTAAAAATAGTAATACAGTAAATCAAAAGCTTTGAACATTTTCAGGTTGATTTTAGCCCACAGATTTAAAGAAAAGTTCTATTTTATAGACCAAAAAACAATTAGATTAACTGCATGGCATTTCTGTGCAGTCTGAACAATTGTATAAGCCATTAAAACAGTTTTACCTTTCTAAATTGTTTTTCATGTGTCTTGGTATCTTTCCCCATTGAAACTTGAACTGCAAGGCCAGGTGTGAAGCTGATTTATCCAGAACTTCAGCCTTTGTGGCAATCTTGTAGTTCTCACAGTCTTCTCCCCAACTGAGCACCATCTAGATTATTTAAAAAAAGTTAATAACAACTGTAGGTGTGTTAGAGTTTCCACTGTTACACGACAGAGTCTAGGCACAACTTTAGAGACTGAATTGGTAAAATTAGAGACTGAAAGAGTATACAGCACATGGATCAGATTGAGTCTTGATGTAGCATATGCCTTATGTCCAGTGCTTAGACAAAGTCTAACATTTAATGTAATAATTCATGAGATCATAAGACAGGATGTTCCTTACTTTAAAAATGTATGTACTTATTTGTTACTTTAATTTCAGCTCATGGAACAGATGAATCTGTTATAATTCAAGCTGTTACAATTCAAGTTAATCAAATTCCCATTTTCTCCAAAAAGAGGAAAGATTTCCAAATGAATGTCCTAATCTGACTGACATTTTTTAGATTAATATTTTAATCTAAAAAAAGAAGAATATGAGGGAATCTTATTTAATTATTCTGAATTTTCAAAGGTACTGACAAAGTCAGCTCAATCTTCTTCTGTTGAAACCTGTAACCTGGCTCATTTCAAGAATCAAAGAAAGAGCTAAATCAGCCGACTTGGGTTCATATAATTTGCAAAAGTTGCTCTCATGTTCTTATTTAGAACTATCTATAGATGTTTTTGTGACACGTGTTTTTATCAGAAAATATACACACTGTCAGTATATACAATTATTGTTTAAACCAAACCAATGTCTTAAACTAATCATGTAATCTTTCAGCACCAATTATGGGTTCATGACCTAATCCTCCTGGTTATTTTTGTCTCTGCACCCATTATTGACTTTTAAGCTATTGACATCTAGTATTATTTCTAAATTACTGGGATTAAAATCTTCCATATTCAAGTAGAAATTTGAATTTAATCTGCATCTCTACAGTGATAGAATACATGGTCGATCAATGGCAGTGTGAAGTTTGTACAGTGGTTGAAGCCTTAACAATATACTATACATCACAGAAAAAGTATTTAAGTCTAATAGATCCCAGCTGAATAACATTAAAATGAAAACTGAAAGGTTTTTTTTTAATTTGAGATGCTGATGTATATAATTGATCTTATACAAATTACCATTGTTTTTTCATGAGATTTCTCCACTCCAGCATCAACACACATCTTCCATTTACTTTCTTCATTAATTTCAGACACCAACAGTTGCATTTTGTTTTTTGGGGTAGTAGGGGATAGATATGCAGTTGCTTCATATCCTTGAGACCTGCCATCACTTCGTACTGCTTCAGCCATGGCAGTCACAAAAGGAGACATAGAGTCATCTATTAGCCTGGCCTTAAAAAGAGAAAAGTGTTTATAATTAATTTTAACATTTTTAGTTAAAAAAATCAAAATCCTCTTTGAATTTTTCAATTTTTTTCACTACATGACTTGACATTCCAAACAAGTGTAAAAGTATCCTGCTATTCCACTGAATTGCAGTTAAGCATGAAATAACCATAAAACGGAGTGTATATATATATCTCATTTCACCTCTGCAGACACGACAACTCTAATCTCTCTGTCTGTGTTCTCAAAGACGGTTTTCCGAACTCATACATCAGAAAGACTACCGAAACCAAAATTATCCTGCAGCTAAGATCACACCTTCCCCCTTCTCTTAACGACAGACTACTCTTCTTCTAAATTTTCTCCATTCATTGGAAGTTTCATTTCACACCTCTCTACACCTATTCTGACTTCACACCTCTTGACTGGCCTCTCTTTCTGTCCTCTGCTCCCGCCTCTCACTCCTCCTCCCTCCCAGCCTTTGTTCTCCCGCTACATTACCTTTGCCTACTGCCTTTTCTCTCTCACACCTGAAGAAGGCTCCACGGCCGAAACTTTGTGTTTTCTTTCTTCTTTTTTTCAGCATGGAATAAATCTATTACTTGTTCCTTTGCAGCCTACGCATGCTGACGCAGCTACCCACCTGAACTATATATACACATTACTGTATATTAATTAAGATCATAAAAGTAATAATAAACTTTATTTTATACAGCACCTTTAAAGGTGGCTTCTCAAAGTGCTTTATGGAATGAGAACAACAATAAATTAAAAGAATACACAAGATAAAACACAATTACAATACAGAGAGGAGACCTTAGATGGTGTTACTAGGAAAAGCAGAGGGCTGAAGAATGGAACCAGTTAAGTAAAAGCTCTTCTAAAGACGAAGGTTTTGAGTCTAGATTTGAAAGAGTTTATAGAAGGTGACTATCTGATATCCTTGGGCAGAGAGTTCCAGAGCTCACAGTTAGTGATAGCATAGGGCATAGCCTAGCGATATTTCTGAGGTGCAAAAAAGATTTTTGACAATATGCTGCACATGTGGGTCGAATGTTAAGCCAGGGTCGAATATCACCCCAAGGTTTTTTAATTTAGACTGAAGCTCAAATACAGAACCATCTACAGATAGGGTTACAGCATTGGCTTTACAAAGTTGATGGGGGGTGCCAATAAGCATGTCTTGTCACAATTAAGATGAAGGAAATTTTGAGTCATCCAAATGTTTTATGTCAGAGAGGCAATTAGATAGAATAGAGACAGCCACATCAGTGTCAGGTTTGGTATTGGTGTATATTTGAGTATCATCAGTGTAGAAATGATAGCTGAGGCCATATGATCTTAAAAGCTGATCAAGTGGAAACATGTAAATGATGAAGAGCAAGGAGCCCAGTATTGAGCCCTGAGGAACATCAGATTAAACAAGACCAATTTCAGACCTATACCCATTAAGAGAGACAAAGTGCGATCAGTGATGTAAGAAGTAAGAGCAGTATAAGAAACTCCAAACACAGTCTTAAGACGAGAAAGTAAGATGTCATGGTCAACAGTGTCAAAAGCAGCACTGAGATCAAGAAGGATGAGTATAGAAAGAGAACCAGATTCAGTAGTTATTAGAAGATCATTAGTGACTTTGATCAGGGCAGTTTCTGTGCGGTGAAGTAGACAGAATCCATATTGGAGGGGTTCAAAAAGGTTTGAAATGTGACAGCAGATTCTAGAATTTTTGCAAGAAAGGGTAAGTTGGAGATGGGGTGAAAATTGTTAAGATTGTTGAGAGCCATGTTAGGCTTTTTTAGCATGGGAGTAATGGCAGCAGTTTTGAGGACTGGTGGTACAATGCCAGTGCTCAAGGAAATGCCAGTGCTCAAAGATTATTTGAAGCTAGTCTGATCAATGCGCTATATATGAGCAGGGGAACCTGTAAGGATTCTTCAATGAAGAGATATGTGGATCCTGTGCAGATGCAGGAGTAGGTACTGTAGGTGAGGTAGGTGAACAATCTGGAACGTCAGGCGAGATTGTTGTTCGAAAAGGAGAAAGGTGGTTTGAAATCCAGGAAGTACAAATGGAGGCAAACAATCCAAATTGCAAGCCGAGGTCCAAGGTCGAGAGGCAAAAGGGGAGTCCAGTATCCAGAAGAATGCAAAGTTCAGAATAAATGCCAAGTAGAGCTCTAAAAGAGTAGACTCAATACCGAGCATCAAGAAGGGGCTTAAATACTGCTGCCTGCCACATGGTAGGGCATGTGGTGCTGAGTTAACATGTGCGGCAGCGCTTGTAATTATTGCTGGTCTGGGGAGGTTGGCAGTCGTGACAGAACCTTAATGTTAAATCTCAGTTTTACAAAATACTGAAGTTGGAGGTTATAAAGTATGTTGTTGATGAATATATACCAAATAAATTATCTTTTTTACTGTCTATTGTGTTAAATAGTTTGTTAAAAGCTTATTGTGTGAACAAGAACAATATGAGATCTGATAATTATTTTCTTATATTTTATATTTTTTTACTCTACTGAAGACCAGGCTCCACACAGTGGCTGATAGAGGTTCTTTTATAGATCCACATCTTTGAAACTGTTTGCTCAAATCCATTATAGATTTTGCTAATATTATTTTTTTAATTCACTTAAATATTATAACTATAGCTTTTAAAATCGAATTCAGTTTTACTCATGTTTTTAATAAGTAAATTTACTATGCTCTTTGCTTCAGTTATGTGTATTAGACATGTACAGTGCACAGTTTTTGTGAAGATCAGATAAATAAAATGTATTATTTGTATGTTTTATTTGGGGAAATATATATGTCCAAATTGATAAAAATGTATACTTTTAAATAAGTTACATTGAAACATTGCATTATATCATTATCATATGCTATATACTGTATATAGATTATGCTGTGGCTTTATCATATCATTATAAATATTTTAAGTTTGAAAGCTTCACTGTTTCTTTGAATGCTATGACTTAATAGAATGAATTTATGCAGAATTTAGATCTAAACATATGTTAGATCATATAATATACAGTACCTTCTGAAACTTGGATACACCGAGTAAGTCTTCCAAGACGTCAGGTATACTCTACAATGAAAAAGTGGGTCATGAGTTTGATGGGTGTAACGAAGAGCTCAATTGGTACCAAAACACATGACTTAATGGCCAGAGAATAACATACCAGTTCCTGTGAGGAGGAGCTTGAGGACTGATTGCTATTCCAGCGACTTTCTAGGACCCTGCTGCTTCTCCAGTCTGGATTACCTCTTCCACGTCTCCTCTTCGAATTGGAGGAAGAACTGGATGAGGAAGAGGTGGAGGATGAACTGGATGCAGAGGGATTGCTTTTAGACCATTGCACTCTTCTGTGTCCCTGGTGTCCTTTTTCGTTGGATGTGCTGCCACTAGAAGAGCTAGATGACGACCCCGTGATTGAAGTAGCATTTGATTCCTTCTGGTAATCAAAAACATGATAAGAAGACATGTTTGTTTACAAAATATAGAACTGTACCTATTTAGTGAAGACAAAAGTATTGTCCCATTCATTTGAATTATAATTTGAATGGATTAAAATTAGTTTTAAAAGTAGTCAAACTAAACTAAAATAGTAAACTATTTTAATATACAGTAGCTTTAACGAATGTGCTGCTTCCAATTTTTGCGTAATGTAAATTTATGATAACAAACTAGCTGTGTTCTCTTAATTACTTTCTGAAAAAAATAATAAAAAAAATGCATACAAATCACAGTAAAATACCTTATGATATTTAAATCCTTCAGTTCGCATGAAATGCATAACTGTGTCTTTTTCAGATCCTGCTTTTATTGAGAATATTATTTTCTGAATATCTACTGCTGTTTGAGCTGTGAAAGAATTAGACAAGAATTGTAAGTTAAGACATAAAGAATATATAACATATATAATATATAACAGTATGTCAATATTGCTTTCATAAAATCAAAAAGACAACAAAACAGCCATCAAAGTGATGCATTTTTCACTTAATATGAATTGTCATTTTACTTTGGTTAGACCTTTAATATAATTTACTGTAGCTTTTGAAAAAGTGAGCCTTCTCTTGAACTGATAGAGAAATAGATCAGATTCATCAGACCATTTTACATTTTCTCTCAGTGATTATAATAGTATTAAAAAAACAAACATAAAATACCCCTAAAAATCACCCAGGTATTCAAGGGCTTGAAATTTTTCAACTGCTCCTCAACACGAAAAAACAATGATTAAATATATTGTTCAAATACCTGGCTTAACAGTAAGTTTTGCATAAGTATCCCCAAGAAAATGATAGAGTGGACAATCCCTGAGAAATATGGCATTTGCCACTTTTGTGTCAATGCAGACCTCAATTCCAAAGTTACGTGATTTAGCACACAAATGCTGCAGTTGTGGTGAAACTTTGTTCTGGTCTCCAGCATTTCTGTTCTCTTGCGATAGGAGCTCAGCAGAAATGCTTCCCTTCTGAGCATAAAGAAGAAAGGTGGTATTAAGTATTGCAGATGTAATTGAAATGGTTCCTAGTGCACAATGTAATAAGCATCATAACATAAGAAACATTTTTTATAATATGGTGCAAAACTTGTCTTTTGTAAATAGTTGAGCTAATTACTTCAACATAATTGTAGGGGTTAACCTTTGCAAATATAAAAATAAAAAGGGTGCAGCTATCTAAATTCTTACAAGTCATTCTTTGTTTGTGTGTGATAAAGCACACAATGTTTACAAGAAAATTTAAAAATCTCCTTGAAGAGTATCACTGCGGCCACAGTGTCCAATGTTAAAGCATCAAATATTAACAACCATATTACATAGGTGAATCTTAACTGCACATACAGTACTGTACATAGTGATATGACTTGTAAATAAAATGACACTAAATAACCACAATTCTTTAAAATTATGATAAGCTAAGCACTCATCTCATATAATGTTTTAGATAATAGAGACATTTGGCATATTACATGTTATTAAATTCACTTCTCAGGACATTTGTCACAACTTTGATACAACTGAATTCTTTTTTTTTTGCATATTTGAAAGCACATTTTCAGATCATAAAGGAAATGTCATGTATGGGAAACAATTTCATCCTCTGCAAAATAAGGCAGTGGAATAAGTTTCTTCAAAAGGCTGGATAGCAAGAATAAAAGAAACACAATTTAACAATTGCTGCCATAGCATTATTTTAAATGCAATTAAATAATAAAGTTAATTACATACTATTACTCCTGCTGAATTTAATTCTGCTTTTTTAGAGGGTTCAAAATGATGTTTTCTTGAGTGTTTTGAAGCAGATCCAGGCAGAATGAGATCATGTTTTTGGAGAGGGAGAGTTTCAGCATTTCGTAGCACAGAAAATGTCTGAGACCTGTTAAAAGTAAAGAACTTTGATAAATACAGACAATTAAGAATAAAAGTTGCTGTGATGGGATCATCAACATTCAAAAGTTTTCCCTTAAATTACATCTTACATTTTATGCTTTCAGAACAATAATTTTACAAAAGTATATTTTTAAGAGTGTATGTTTCATTATTTTGTTTCAAATCAATATATTAATTATGTAATTAATTATTTTAGATTTTTTATTAAATGTAGATATCTTTTGGATTTCTGTGTATATGGTAAAATATTTTTTGTAAAGTTCACAAAGCTTTTCAGAGAAAACTTACTTGAGTTCCAAAAGTTCATTCTCCTTCTGGCAAGATGGAAATTCCACACGAAACCTTGCTTCTTTCAGATCCATTGTGAGATCAAATTTCAGTGGCACTGCCATCTGTAAATCAGCATGATACTCTGAGCCAGTCTGTATGAGTTCTGTGTTAACCCCATGAAAACAAATGAAGTTTTGGAGATTGCTGCAAAGAAAAGATTAAATTCAAATCTTGAGTCATATCTCTGTAACTAGATATTATTATTTTTTTTAATTATAAAAATATTCTGTAAATGTGATGAAAATATAGTTGCAGCTATTAATGCCCCAAATACAACTAGTAAGTTAAAAAGAACAGCATTTAGATCATTAATATAAATAAAAATGCAATAATAGGTAGTTACCATTATATATAAAATATTTTAACTTAATTACAATTCCACTTAATAAAACAGATTTTTAAACATTCATACATTCATAATTAAAGGCAGACTACACTAAATGTGTAAAAAAAGTTTACCTCAATACAGAGTCTACTTGAGTCTCAATTTCTGAATTCAGCAATTGGGCTACTCCCAAGCCTCTTATTGGAGCTGGGTGAACTTGTGTTTTGGCTACCAAACAAAGAAAGAGATGATTAAGCAGAAAAAGTGCATTTAGTTGCAAGAAAAAGTTTATGAACTCTTTGGAATTACCTGGATTTCTGCATTAATTACTCATTAAAATGTGGTCTGATCAACTAAGTCACAATAATAGACAAACACCATCTGCTTAAACTGATAACACACAAACAATTGTACTTCTTGTCAATATTGAACACATCTTTTGAACATTCACATTCCAGGCTGGAAAAAGTATGTGAACCCTTGTATTTAGTAACTGGTAGAACCTCTTTTAGCAGCAATAACTTCACCCAAACTTTTCCTGTAGCTGCTGATGAGACTTGCACAACAGTTAGGAGGAATTTTAGACCATTCCGCTTTACAAAAGAACAGCTCTCTTCAGGTCATGCCACAGAATCTCAGTTGGGTTGAGGTCTGGACTCTGACTTGGCCATTCCAGAACACACATTTTCTTCTGTTTAAGCCATTCTGTTGTTGATTTACTCCTGTGTTTTGGGTCATTGTCTTGTTGCATCACCCTATTAAGCTTCAGGTGACGGATCACTACCATGACATTCTCCCGTAAAATTTCCTGATACAATTTTGAATTCATTGTTACCTCTATGACACCAAGCTGTCCAGGCCCTGAGGAAGCAAAGCAGCCCCAAACCATGATGCTCCATCCACCATACTTTGTGGTTGGGATGAGGTTTTGGTGTTGGTGTGCAGTGCTTTTGTTCCTCCAAACAGGGTTGTGCGTTTGTGCCAAAGAGTTCAAGTTTTGTCTCATCCATCCACAGAACATTGTCCCAGAAGCATTATGGAACATTCAAGTGGTCAAACATGAGACGTGCAGCAATTTTGTTTTTTGAGAGCAGTGGTTTCCTCTGTGGTATCCTTCCATTAAAACCATTCTTGTTCAGTATTTTTCTTGTAGTGGACACGAACAGAGACTTTGGCAAGTTCAAGAGATTTCTGCAGGTCCTTTTAACCTGTTAACCTGTTAACCTAGGATTCTTTTTCAAGTCTTCAGCATTGCACACTGCGTTATTGCCGTGATCTTTGCAGTAGCAACAGTACTGAATTTCCTCCATTTTTAGACAATTTGTTTTACTGTGGATTGATGAACACCCAGGTCTTTAGAACTGCTTTTGTAGCCTATACCTGATTTATGCATTTCTACAGTTCTTCTTCTAAGGTCCTCTGATATTTCTTTTGATCAGGGCATAGTTCACATGAACAGCTCTTTCTTGAGAGTATCAAACTCTGTCAGTAACCAACCTTTGTGTGCCTTTTATATGAGGCAGGACACTTCTGGCTGTTTTTCTGTAAAAGTAAGATGAATGCCTTCACATAAAACTTTGAATGGTTTACAAAGCATAATGTTAGGAACATTTGTGATAAACTCTGAGGAATTACAAAATATAGACAGTGTCCCAAAAGGTCAGGCTAGTTTACACTATGTGACAACTCACCATTTACTGTCATGCCAGTCATGATTGTATAGTACTGACTATTTTCCACTGGAAGACCCAGACTTGTAGATTCTATGTAACGAATTTCAGACGCCAGATAGGCATGAGTCCACTGAAACAAAATCCCCCTTTGAAGCAAATCTATTATTTTCCATGGATAAGTGTGTTCACCTGCCACTGTGCTTAGCACCTGTAAAGAAAGCATGTCATTAAAAAGTGTAGCAATGTAAAACAGTTACTGGGTTTAGTTTGCCTTTTTTATAGGATCTATCATATTCAATAATCAATAAATTCATTATGCAGCAACTTTCAAATGAAGTGTTACCCTTGCAGGAAATACATTTAACTACTCAAAACCAAAAGATGAACAAATGTAAAAATATTTAAATGTTCTGGATTACAATTTAATGACACCTCCAGGATTAATAACTATTAATTATCAAGTTATTATGAAGATAACCCAGATAAGCTACATCTCAGAAGTATCCTGTGAAAACCAGAATACTTTCCAAATATTTCTCTTTTGAGAAGATGACAATGGGATGATCCACAGTATATTGTACATATTAGTATTGAGTAGGTCCATTTTTGTTTCCAATGATCTTACCTCCATTGCTTTATGAAAAGTATTTCTGTTGATGTCTGCAAAAAACACTTCTTGACCAAAAAACTTCAGATAAGTAGACAGTAAGGCATTTTCTGTTGGAGTTGATTTCCATCCTGATAAACTATTAGAGAGCTGACAACATAGATAAAGGAATATGTACATGTACATTCATATTTGTCTGAACTTAACATTCATACTCCCCCTTTTCAAAGCTAGTAGAAAATGCTGGCAGTAATAACACATTTTCAAAAGCATGTCTGTCAGGTGTATATTTCAACTGCAAATAGGCAAAATACAATACACAGTTTTACAGCTTAAATAATCAAGATAAGAAATTGATTTTTTATATATTGTTATATAGATAGATGATTGACAGATACTTTATTATTGTAACTACTGTAAGTATACTAACTATATTATTACAATATGTTCATTAATACATATTCTTTGTTCATGTAAATAAACAAGTACCTTGTTTAATAATTGTATTATTACT